ACTCCAAGAAACTAGGACCTGATGACTGATCGATATTCAAACATGTAATGAGAGGGCAGATTTAAGCGTTTCTCGACTCTCCCTATTTAACCTGAGACACTACCCCATGTTTAGTACTAACAAGGGAATTCTAGATCTTCCACCATTCCACCCATGTACGATCTTGCATGGGAAGATCCGCTGAAATGAGGGTTCATAAAGACATCTCTTACTTAAAACGCGAGAGGATAACATAACTCACAGATCGACAGATCTAGAAGTCTTCAAATGTGTGGCTGTGACTTCCTGTCCAATAAAAATGTGTTGAAAACCTGTTCTTACACATCCACAGCCAACGTTAGCCAGTGATTACAACATGTCTACCGCGAATGCAGACTACGTACAATGAGTGCTTTCATAATCCCTGGCCAGAAGCCAGCTTATTTTTGACTCAGGTCAGACAAATTAGCACAAACCTGGGCGACGCCTTTCACTGCTAGAAAAGTTAAAAGTTGAAAGTTGAATCGTAGCCTCTTTTACAGGCTTTAGTCGACGATTTGACATTGGCCGTTTTTTGCTAGTAAAGCGTCGATTTCTCATTGCTGCCGTTCAAATTCCTTCTTTCCTGGTACGCTTTTAGAAGACGGAAGAAATCGGAAAACAATACCAGCGTCAAGTGCATGTAATTGTAATTCTAACACACACATCATGTTGCCTGCTGTATAGGCTACAGGAACCAACATGCAATAAAAATAATCTCATTATCGCTGATGAAAATCATAATAAAAGACATTGACGCATTTTGGGGATTATCATATTTGTTTTTGGCGTGATGATCAGCATTATTAACCACGTTAAACCTTAGTTTCGTGCTTGTGGATGAAGCCTGTTCAAGCAACGTCCTTGGTTCAGGGACTTACGTTACACGTACTAATTATGGGAAATACTACAAGTTGTCTTAAAACATTATGCTCATTAAGACTTTTATTTTACCGATGCCCCACACAAAGTTTATATCCACGAGTGAAAATAGTATGAGTGTTTAAAAAAACGATCTTGATGGCATGTTTGTCTACCTAGTCTGGACTGTGGCTAAATACCTACGTAGATCTCCCTGGGGGACTGTATGTAGTCACACGGGTTGTCTATAATAGAATGGTCTGACTAGTGTAAATTATCTATCATTCAAGATTCAGAACGCAGATGTGGCCTGAAATGGGAAAGTTTATTGTGGTCGACTCTCCAGACAAAACGTTCAAGTAACAGAATATCAATAAGCAGAACTTATTTTTACTATAAGTTGTCCATGTCTCCCCAAAACAAAATTTTAAGGAACAACTGAGAGAGTTCTGATACATGCATGTCTAATTCATTTTACAAGTTTATCATGTACGATACAAATAGCAAATCCCAGTACAAATTGACGTATGATAACCCATGTACATATAGAACAATATTTTAAAGAAATGTCTAAAGCCTAGAAACTCCACCTTAATTGTAAAACTGAAAGCACATTCTCATCCCATACTACACTGTCTTTTGTAAGATAGATTAGTATGTTCGATACATAGCAATCATTGATGTCTTACATTGTGCCTTGTATAATTTGTTGTGTAATTCTAAAGCTTTAATTTTATTATATCATTTTTATTGCCCATAAATCGCACGTCTGACGTCGGCTGATGGCATGACAACGTCGAGCAACTGGGAGACGACGTCTAGTATGAGCTACTCTTCTTCCTTCTCTCCGCTAGACCCTGAAGTGATTCACGTAGAAAGCACAGTTAGAGAAAAATGGCAAAAATTTATTGCGTTGGCTGATTGGATAATGGTTATCATTCCAGTAACTTCTATAAAGAAAGCATAAGTTCCTTTTTCCTTTTTCATTGAGAAGTATACATAATATAAACATAAAGTGATAAGGTTAAAGGATGATCAAGTATGTACAAAGAGTTCCTAATTTTCCGCTGTGTTTTTTTTCCTTCCCTTTCTTCTTACAACAAAACTGTCAACTTTTCAAAGAAATTTTCCGCTGTGTTTTTTTCCTCCCCTTTCTTCTTACAACAAAACTGTCAACTTTTCAAGGAAATTTCCATAATTAATAAAACAAAGCATACATGTCTTATTGTGAATCTGCACGATGACATCGTTGTCAGAACCGCCCCCCTCCCCAGGCAGAGCGGCTTTGGCCCAGTGCGGCTCCAGGTCCCCGCAGAACGCCGCTAACTTCTCCCCCAGGTCCGGCCGGGTGCTGCGGCTCTCATCCACGGTAACCACGAACCTGAAACCGACGACTGGTGCTGTCTGTAAAATCGCGGGGAGTCGGCATAGGATAATATGAAAAGCATAATAGGAAAATCATTGCTTCAGCCAAGGACATTATGTATAACGTGTAGTACTCAGATATTAACGTTTTGTTATTTGGCTTAACCGTCATACACAAACTGCACACATGTACCTCCATGTACCTCAAATGTCCTGCTTCCGTACCTCTATATCTTCATACCATATCCAGTACTAGTCATGTCTGTAGATGATAGAACTGTATTCGGGTTAGATAAGGTTGAAAAATAACAAGCGACTACTATTTTGAAGGATTCTACTTCTTATCTAATGCTTAAATGCATTAATTAGATTAAAAAAATTCTGATAGACGTTGATTATTAGTTACTTACATCGACGATGTAGCAAATGTTGTGACCAGGAGCCTTCACTGCCACCTACATGGTAACATGGTATGTACAGTAATGACTTCATAACGTGTCATTGGAATCATAACATACATTTTAAAGACTAAGTCAAAAATATGTCAAAGAAAAATACATTCTGCCTATAAAACGGCTACCAAGTACTCTACATCTCACTTGAATGACACAAAAAAGTACAAAAAGTCAACATTTACACGGCATTGTCTTTCCGAATTTATATTGTTACCGATTATATACCTATACCGTGTGTACAGTGTGTACGAGTACGTATAAAAGTGCTGTGTACCTTACCTCCACGTCATCTGCTTTAAACTCAGCCTAAAACGAAACAAGTCATGAAAAGAATATTAATCAGAAGCAAGCGAAATCTCGATACTATATATACTTAAAAGTACGAGGACAAATTGTGGAAATCATAACAGGCAAACAACCAGCAACAAGTAGAACGTAGCCTGGGTGCCAGGTTGTTTGCAGCGCACATACAGGCTAGCTGAGTAGCTCATCGCCGAGCTCCAACACGTCGCCCAAAGAAATTTTACCACAGACCCCCTCAGTTAGACTCCGAGGGTCTTAAACCTGGCGTTAACCGACCTGTGTATTAGCTCTGAGAACAGTCTGGCATCCCGGCCAGTAAAATACGGTATACGAACCATGGTCTGACCGCGGGCGACCCCAGCAGTCAGCAGCACCGCCAACACAAGGAGCGGCAGTCGCAGACGACACAGACCGCCTGGTTTGGTGGACTGCTCGGTCTGTTTCAAGGACGAAAAGGAGCAAGAGGCATCTCAATCTTTTGTCCCTCTGTATGTTGCATACATATTCTTGTGGTGACTAAGGCTATTGGAATACTGATCGGACGTCTGTTTCTGGGACGCCAAAGTGTGACCCTGTGCCAGTTTTCAACTATTTTCCCTGTCTATCCTCATCCCGGGTCCCTTGAAAGGGTTTTATATATGAAGCATACGTCGTCTAACACCAGCGAAAATAACCCTGCCTTATTTCTAGGCCGTAGATTTGTAATCGCTGGCACTAATGACATACCTTGTAGGACACGGTTTTCTGCGGAGAACCGGTTTTGCCTTCTTGGTTTGCCCTGTCCTCTTTGCCGGTCGCCATCGTGAAGAAACCTGGAGACATATTCATGGTTTTAAAGGATGGATTTGGTTGAATTAACCTACAAAAATATTCAAAACATCAGTGAATTTAGAGACAACACAAAGTGTTTTATTCAGCCGACGTTTCGGTGACCATATCTGCCACCTTCCTCACGGCAATTCTGACTGGTTCACATTGTACAGCAAAGCAGGTGTCTCTTTATAATTATTCAGTGACTTACCAACCTGATGAAACTATTCACGGATCGATTAAAAATATCAATAGGTTAAAAGTTCACCTGTAGTCTGTCTGTTGCGACGCAAAAGAAGAAACTTGAAGAACCTTTGCAGCCGTAATGTGAGAAACTCGTAAGAATTCCCACTCAGAGTGGGTCGGAGGGGCTCGAGGGGTAATTACGTATACACCTATTAGTCTCATGAATATTAATTAGTGTCGTCAGCAGTTGAACAACCGGGATTTCAAGCATAATGAGATTTTCTACGCGACCAAGATGGGTGGAGCTTTCCTGTCTTTAATGAGATGCTTTTTGCCCTACGTTGTTCTATTGTCTGATGATCTAGTCTCAGGTCACATCTTTGGGCGAGCAAATTCTTACAAAAAAAAAAGGAGATCACTTGACACAAGTACGGCCAAATATAACTATGCTGAGCGAAAAAATCCCATATACACCGAAGAGCAGTTGTATATATACAAGCTGCACATATACAGATACACACGTACATTTCAGGATCATATCGTAAAGTAGGCGAGAGGGACGCAATTTTCTCACATATGAGTAAACAAAGAGACCTTCGAATGCTGCAGGATTTTCCACCGTTTGACGCATCTCGGTGATTATCATATTCTTTTTTGGCGTAATGATCAGCATTATCAACCACGTCAAACCTTTAATAGCTTCGTGGTTGTGGATGAAGCCTATTCAAGCAACGTCCTTGGTTCAGGGACTAACGTTACACGTACTATTTCTGGGAAAGACTCACTCACTCAAGTGTGTCTAATTTGTCTTTTCTTTAGCCTGGTCTGGTTCTTAGGGCATTCACCATTGGTACCATGGTCACCTTTTGGTCATCTTCATTGAGAACCTGCAAGTTGTCTTAAAACTTCATGCGCATTAAGACTTTTATTTTACCGATGCCCACACAAAGTTCATATCCACGAGTGAAAACATTAGGAGTGTTTTCAAAGAAAACGATCTTGATGACATGTTTGTCTACCTAGTCTGGACTGTGGCTAAATACCTAGATCTCCAAAGGGGACTGTATGTAGTCACACTGTCTGACTGGTGTAAATTATCTATCATTAAAGATTCAGGACGCAGATGTGGCCTGAAATGGGAAAGTTTATTGTGTACACTCCAGACAAAACGTTCAAGTAACAGAATATCAATATGCCGAACTTATTCTAACTATAAGTTGTCCATGTCTCCCTAAAACAAAATTTTAAGGAACAACTGAGAGAGTTCTGATACTAAGTACATGTATGTCTAAGTCATTATACCAGTTTATCATGTACTATACTGATTTTCTCAGCGGATACAAATAGCAAATCCCAGTACAAATTGACGTATGATAACCCATGTACATATAGAACAATATTTTAAAGAAATGTCTAAAGCCTAGAAACTCCACCTTAATTGTAAAACTGAAAGCACATTCTCATCCCATACTACACTGTCTTTTGTAAGGTAGATAGATTAGTATGTTCGACACATAGCAAATGATGTCATACACTGTGCCTTGTATGATATGTTGTGTAATTCTAAAGTTTATTATATCATTTTTATTGCCCATAAATCGCACACTGACGTCGGCTGATGTCATGACAGCGTCGAGCAACTGGGAGACGACGTCACTCCGAGCTACTCTTCTTCTTCTTCCTCACTGCTTCCGATAGGGACTGAAGTGATTCAAGTAGAAAGCACAGTTAGAGAAAATGGCAAAAATTTATTGCATTGCCTGATTGGATAATGGTTATCATTCCAGTAACTCCTATAAAGAAAGCATATGTTCTGTTTTATTGAGAAGTATAACTAATGTAAACATAAAGTGATAAGGTTAAAGGATGATAAAGTATGTACAAAGAGTTCCTAATTTCCCGCGGTGATTTTCACCTCCCCTTTCTTCTTACAACAAAACTGTCAACTTTTCAAAGAAATTTACATAATTAATAAAACAAAGCATACATATTTTATGGTGAATCTGCACCATGACATCGTTGGCAGAACCGCCCCCCTCCCCAGGCAGATCGGCGGTGGCCCAGCGCGGCTCCAGGTCCCCGCAGAACGCCGCTAACTCCTCGCCCAGGTCCGGCCGGGCGCTGCGGCTCTCATCCACGGCAATCACGAACCTGTGACCGACGACTGGTGATTTCTGTAAAATCGCGGGGAGTCGGCATAGGATAATCATAATAGGAGAATCATAATAGGAAAATCATTGCTTCAGATGTATAACGTGTACACTCAGATATTAACGTTTTGTTATTTGGCTTAACCGTCATACACAGACTGTACACATGTACCTCTACATCTAAATACCATATGCAGTTGAAAAAATAACAAGCGATTACTATTTTGAAGGATTCTACTTCTTATCTAATGCTTAAATGCATAGTCGTAGGTAGTTTTTACAGTGAAAAATTTCTGATAGACGTTGATGATTAGTTACTTACATCGACAATGTAGCAAATGTTGTGACCAGGAGCCTTCACTGCCACCTACATGGTAACATGGTATGTGCAGTAATGACGTCATAACGTGTCTTTGGAATCATAACATACATTTTAAAGACTAAGTCAAAAATATGTCAAAGAAAAGTACGTTCTGCCTATAAAACGGCTACCAAATACTCTACATCTCACTTGAATGACACAAAAAAGTACAAAAAGTTAAGTCGACATTTACACGGCATTGTCTTTTCGAATTTATATTGTCACCGAACGTATAAAAGTGCTGTGTACCTTACCTTCTCGTCATCTCCTTTAAACTCACCCTATAACAAAACATAAAAAGAATATTAATCAGAAGCATGCGAAATCTCGATACTATATACAGTATACTAAAAGTACGAGGACAAATTGTGGAAATCAAAACAAGAACCAGCAACAAGTAGAACGTAGCCTGGGTGCTAGGTTGTTTGCAGCGACAGCCTAGCTGAGTACAGGCTAGCTGAGTAGCTCTTCAGCTTCAACCTGTCCCCCAAGGAAATTTTACCACAGACCCCCTCGGTTGGACTCCGAGGGTCTTAAACTGAGAACCGTCTGGCATCCAGGCTTAAGCTTGTAGAACGTGGCACGAACCATGGCCTGACCGCGGGCGACCCCAGCAGTCAGCAGCACCGCCAACACAAGGAGCGGCAGTCGCAGACGACACAGACCACCTGGTTTGGTGGACTGCTCGGTCTGTTTCAAGGACGAAAAGGAGCAAGAGGCATCTCAATCTTTTGTCTCTCTGCTATGACATAATTTAAGCTTCAAATTTCAGATAAATTCGGTTCTTGAACTGTATATTGCATGCAGATTCTTGTGGTGACTAAGGCTATTGGAATACTGATCGGACGTCTACATATCGGGTCCCTTGAAAGGATACGTTGTCTAATGCCAGCGAAGATAACCCTGCCTTATTTCTAGGCCGTAGATTTGTAATCGCTGGCACTGATGACATACCTTGTAGGACACGGTTTTCTGCGGAGAACCGGTTTTGCCTTCTTGGTTTGCCATCGTGAAGGAAGCCTGGAAACATAAAAATGGCTTCAACGGATGGATTTAAAAACATTCAAAACATCAGGGAATAAAGATTCACCTTTTACACAACAAAGTGTTTTACTCAGCCGACGTTTCGGTGACCATATCTGCCACCTTCCTCACGGCAATTCTCATCGGTTCACATTGCACAGCACAGGTGTCTCTTTATAATTATTCAGTGACTTACCAACCTGATGAAGCTATTCACGGATCGATTAAAAACATCAATAGGTTAAACGATCACCTGTTGTCTGCCTGTTGCGACGCAAAAGAAGAAACTTGAAGAACCTTTGCAGCCGTAAACGTAAGCAAAGCCGTAACGTGACCAAACTGGTAAGAATTCCAACTCAGAGTGGGACGGAGGGGCTTGAGGGGTAATTACGTATACACCAATTAGTCTCATGAATATTAATAAGTGTCGTCACCAGTTGAACAACCGGTATTTCAAGCATATGGAGATTTTCTACACGGCAATTTTCTGTCAGTGTCCTGAATACTGGACCATTAAGGCCTTCCAGCTATATGGATAGTCTTTCTTGCATCAAAACTGTCAGGAAGTTGCATAAACAGCTCTGTCATACTTATATAACCCGCACGTCGGTGTAGTACTACTGGTTGATGAGCGGATTTCATCATCTACTGAAATTAGAGTTGCTTCCCCGTGAACAGTTGTTCACAACTACACAAGGCAAGTCATTGCATTATATTACATGTAATACATTGGACATTCCATTCTGTGAATTTGAGAAAAAGACAAAATAACAAATGCGCAGAACATATATACATATATAGACCAGCAAAGTTTATTGACAAAAACATAAGAGAATATAGTTCAAGACAAAATATATACATCATATTTTAACTGAAAAGAAAAAGCCTTGTTCTATCAAACTTTCTTTATACATTAAGTATAGATTCGTACAGTTCTTGATGTCGACCCCGCAATGCTCATTCCACTGTTCTAGCAGTATTATAACCGGGTTAACCATACAAGCACCGGCAAGAGCATTGCTGATGGAAGTAGAAAGCTATAATAGAGTTCAGATATTTCATAAACGCACTTGCCGTCTTGTCAGGCAGCTACATATATTGCATATTGCATAATATGCTCTGTTTGAACTTTGAAACCAAAATTAGCTTACAGGTTATCCGCCTTTGATATTCATAGACGCTTTCAGCATTTCTAATAAAACGCTTCCTTAAGTCATATGGAGGACAGTGAGAGCAGTTAGAGGGATGATCACACTGCCGTGCAGAGTAGTGCCGCTGGACCTGGCCCGGCCGTCTTGTGCTGCCGCCTGGGGACTAGCTGCACTCTCCTGCCGGAATTCTGCATGTGGGATATATAGACTGTTAGACTGTACATGTATCCTCTATTGGCCGGATTCAGAAAAGTACAGGATCCAAATGGTAGGTAATACACTTGAGTCACTGGGAGTAGGGGCGCCTGCTCTGAGCATTTAGCAGGCTATTTTCGGTATGACATACGCCAAGGGCGTCCCCACTGCAAGGATATCAGCATTATAAAGACATTGTACGTTTTTTCTACACATCTGAAAGTTGAACGTTACATATTCAAGAATTAATGAAAAAATGTACAAGAAATCGAATTAAGTGGGAATGCGTTAATTCATCTTACCCTCTCGCATCATTTCCTCATCCCGCATCATGGCCTCCTGACTCATCCTTTGCTCCTCCATCATCCTCTCCTGCATTCTCTCCTCTCTCTCATCCTCGAATCTCTCTCTCTCCATCTCTCTCTCCATCTCCATGTCCTCTCTCTCCATCTCTCTCTCCTCCTCCTCCTCCTGGGTCTTGCCCGGGTAGTAGATGCCATCTCTCATGTCCTCCAGCTGGTCGAAGACCGCGTCCTCCTCCAGGTTGCTGAAGGTGGAGGCAGGGCACAGGCCGGCCTCGAGGTACGCGGACGCCATGTTCATAAAGCCGAACCGATACGCCGCGAGATGTGCTGGTAGAAGATATATCACATATATTTCAGGGTAAAAATATGGTAAAATCGGCGATTATATGTTACATGATAAAATTTATACATATAGGGACTACGATATAGAAAATTCGGCGATTCTAGCGGTAGAGATCCCGATCGGAGTATTTGTCGACAGACACTATGGTCAGAATGCGTTAGGACGGTTTGCCATTAATCTAAAGTGACATAAATCAAAGATAAAAATTGAATGCCTTATAAGCAGATGCCTTAAAATCTACAGACTGGATTCTAGATCTACTAGATCAAAGTCTTTACCTTGACATCGTAAATCACGATACGTATGTATAATGCTGAACGCAAAGTTGTTTTTATGCCTCCACACCTGAGAAGCTGCAGTTTTTCTTAGCGTTCTGTAGGCAGGTCAGATGGGCGTCCATGACGTCACACCAGGGGGCACGTGATCCCACGGCGCTGACGAAGGTGTCCACACACGGACGGAGCACGTCCATGGAACACTCCGCACCGGGAGCTGCAGGGAGGGAGGGGGGCCAAACGTTCAGTGCCACCAAAACAATTGGCAAATCATTCAAGTGAGGCTAAAGGATGTGTTGTAGGCAAATCGATGTAGATTACAACAGTTTTGAAAGACGCAGTTACTGGTGTAGACTGCATGTGAAATATGTTACATGTATCATGTGTATTATTTGATTGCAATGTATAACCCTGCATAAATTCAGGGCTATAAAAGACCAATAAAAAATTTATTATTATTATAATTATTATGAAATAATGATAAAAAGGCAGTCATGAAGGTATTGTGTATTGTAGAGGATATCATTAATCTCAAAGCAAAATAATATGACCAATGCAGGTGATGGCTACATGAGTAGCCACGTCAGTAGGTTGGACAGTACATATGCGGAAATAAGGTTATTGAATGGAAATATATCATAATTACCGATGGTAACATCCTTCATCATCTGCTCTTCCTCTGCCTTGTATTGCTCCTCTTCTTTCTTCATCTCTTCTTCTTCCATTTTCATCTCCATTTCCTGCTCCTCCATTTCTTCCTCTTCCATCTCCAGCCCATGTTCCTCTTCAAGCAAATACTTGTCGTTCGGATTCTGTTGTGCTTCCTTCTTTACTTCTTCCTCTTCTTTCCTGATCTCTGCCTCTTCTTCTTGTATCTCCTTGATTTCGTCCTCCATGACGGCCTCATCCTGTTCTGTCATCTCCTCCTGCATTCTCCAGTCTTCTCCGCTCATCCCGCCGCCCCCCTCCCACCTCTGGTCCTCCATCACCGCCTTCACATCCTCCTCCAGTTCTTCTGCCGTCTCTTCCTCGAACTTTGCTGAAAAACGAAACGAGATGAAAGACAATCTTGGTTTTTCGTCCGGGTAATGAGAAATAATATAGCCATTAAAGAAATGCTATTTGCCACGTTTTAGTCCTTGTCAAGACGAAGGTCCAGTGGTTTTTTTTATCGGGAGATAAACATTTATGTCTGCGATGGTTAATCATTGAAATCCTTATCAGAGAGCTCGAGGGAACATACTCAAGGAGAACTTCTCCATAATCAGTTGCATAAAACTGGAGCATTACTAACCTACTAAAGGAGGTTAAGATGGTAAAACTTGGCAAATATAGGGTCTGACTAGCAAGCGGAGTGGGTCCGCCGTTAGAGTTTTATTTCCCCTTCGGACTGCGAGTGCAATTGAACAATACGGCGGCAAAACTCCCTGGCTAATCATTCCACCTATCTGGCTAAATTTTAATGAAATGAAATGAAATACCTTTATTGTACATTCAGGTACAGGTCAAGATATAACAGACACATAACAAACGTATATAGAAAATTGGAGACAAAAGATGCACTACTTGACTTAGGCATACATACATAAGACAAGGGTACTTTAATTTTTTTTAATTGTTAGCCTGGTGGAGACTAGCGATAATCATCAAAATACCTTCGTCTCCCAGGTCTTTGACGAACCCCGAGGAGCAGACTTGGAGTTCCTCATAGAAGCGGATGATCTCAGACAGGGACTCCTGGTACTCTATAACTCTGTCCAGGTCACAGGCGCTGGAGTTGCTCAGGATCTTGTTGATGTCGTCATCGATGCATTTGGCATGAGTCTGCGTGTAAAAGACACGACATTTACAAATGCAGCAGAAATGGGTCGAAAAAATGGAAATGCAGGGCAATCCAGACAAACAAAGCCTCATGCTTCTGTCTTAGAATGGTACGCTGCCATTCAACAACATATTTCAGTTACATGGCAAGTACACAATACTAGAACATTAATAATAATATTATCATATGATTCTCATATGCTATTCTAGTTTATTTTCATCGAAATTGCCTTTGCTTTGGTCCAGGCCATTGTCCCTTGTCTCATGGACAGTTATCTCTGTCAGATCATACTATATAACACACAATTCTACCCAAACTCAGGGTTTGAAAAACACTGTATGCACAACAAAGAGTATTGTTGTTACAGTTAACTCTAGGATTACTTTACCGCAAAAGCTGTACAGACGGTAGTTTCGTCTTTCGCCACGATACTGTCCACCAGCACGTTCCCACAATGCACCAGGATCTGCTGGTCGCACTTCAGGATGTTCAACTCTTGCTGCTCCTCGCCATCTTCATCGTCCCCATCGTTACCACACACTCCTGTAAAATTATCATGTATCGAGGATGGAAAGCTTTGACATTTGGTTCTGGAGAGAAAGCTATGGCTTTCTGCTTCATGTACGTTGACAAAGGTTAGATATTCATATAATGAGATACACATGAAAACAGTTATTCAAGTATTCATACATTTGGAAACTGTCAGACGCTTCAAAAAGCATCCACCCCTTTTCAGTTTTCAAAATATATCCAGTGATGATATCTAAATGGCAAAAGGTTTGCCTGTAACAGGAACCCTCAGACAGTAGTACCTTTAGTATCGGATACCATTATTTCGATAAGAAAGCAACCATGTACTTACGTAGTGACAAAACGTAAGGAGAATACAGCAGTTCATCATACGACAGCTTACCGTCACCTAAATGGCAAGAAAATAAACGTTTGGTTACCAGTGATTGTAATATTTGCCTGGTCTTATACTGAAAGTCAGTGTTAACTGTCAGCCACAAAACTGAATTCCTGATACCTGTGCACTTGTCGAACATGCACTTGTCGAACATGCACTTGTCGAACATGCACTTGTCGAACATGCACTTGTCGAACATGCACTTAATACATGTGCACTTGTCGAGCATAATTCTTGATACATGTGCACTGTCGAACTTGTACATTCCACATAAGGACAGAGATCAATATTACATTTAAATGAAGTGACATGTTCTTATGCTACGGTTACATTTTCAAACCAATGGCACCCACCATCAGTGTCCACCAGATCAAACGCGTTTCTAAGCAGACTCTGGTCTTTGGTCTGGTAGAAGTTGACACTAAACTTGGCCAGCTTGTCGTACTTGGACGCCTGTCTTAAAACATCCAGGATTTGTCTAGTCATGGGAAAAGAATAAAAACATACAGTCCTCAGTAGATATACGCTGTTGGGGGCAGCCTAGTATACATTACTAGCAGGTAAAAATGTCATTATCATGCATAATATCAATTTGAGTAACTAATATCCACAGGAAATTTTCCTCTATGTCTGCACGTTTGTGTGTAAACTAAAACTCTGCAATCCTATAGATTTATATACAAGCATCATTGGCATATGAAAGCCATTATAAAACGTACTTGCTTGAATCGGTCAGGTCTCGTTTCAAAGGAAGAGGCATCCCAGTGGTTGAGGTTATGGCGATGGCCGCCAGACACATCACAACAAACACAGACATCTGCGACAGAGACATGTACAGGCCTCGGGGTAAATATGATATGTTCTTCGACCTTATGACATCAAATTAGATGTTTTGAATCTAATTTGATGTTTTGAATATGTCGAATTTTGATATTTTCTGTAGTACAAACTTAACTACCCCTTCACGTATAACCTACAGGTCATATATATAGGTACGTACGGCACATCATGTATTCATGCGTTTTTCATGTAACTTGTACTAAGAATATCGAGGGAAACATGCCTGTTGCGCAATTTAGCCCGGGGCTGGGTGGGAGGTGTTTTGAAAGGTAGGATTAGAGAACGACGCCATTTTAACTTTGTCGTGCCAGTGACCTTCCACACTCTGATGTTTGTTAAAGACTTGAAGGTGAAGGTGATGAAAAGATTTTTGGGTATGAACTGATACTCGTCTCTGTCTGAATCCAGACCCAAGGTGAAAGTTAGATCAGCGGAATATTGATTGTCTTGAATGATTGACCGAAAATTAAAACAGTACAGCACTCAAGCACAACACACACACACTTACGCAATGGCATATTTGTATATCAACAAACGTTTTATGTTTCCATTTACTTTCTGTTCCTACCTTTAGATACTTGAGGCCCCCAGTACAGAGTGCTAACCCATTTCCACACCCGGAAGTAAATGCACTCTGTATTGTGTCCACATCTATCAAATAATCCGATTTTGAGGTAGTCTTACTCTACGATTCTTAGTAAAACTTTGATTGTAAACCTAGTTCAAGAATGATATTTGTCCAAATTCTAATGATAGAAGATGTTTTCAGTTCTAGTTGCTTCCATAACAGCTTGTGACAACATTTCGAGTCCTGAAGCAAGTATTGTTGAACAGGAAATGTAACAGGAATTGTTTGGGACACCAACAATGTAATCTATCCTGCCAGTATAGATACTCGTAATCTAGACACAATTCTGTAGTTGCAATGAAGAGACTGTGACTGATAACACAAATCCTGAAAGCCTTGTTACTACACCTTCAGTAACTGTAAACATGATCTACTGATGAAGCTTTTAACTTTTTAAGTCATGCACTCATAGACGAGTATTAATGTCTGCGTATATCTAACACACATACAACAGTACAGCGCAGTTCTTTCAGACTAGATTAGGCACCGGATTGAAATAACATTACCTTTTCTGGCGTCTTCTTGCAGTATGACCGTGTGTCGTCACGAAAAACTCAGTGTTCAGTCTAGTTCAGGTTACTTGTGCAGTCAGATCTGCCCTGATCAACTGCCCAGTTCATCGGAGTCCACTGTGATTGGCTAGGGGCCGTTATCGGGTCACCTGACAATTATTCCCCACCCCTTCTGTGAGCACGAATCCCCTCGGGCGGGGGGGAGACCATTGTTCGGATCTGATGACGTATCAGGAAACAGCTATATTCGTCCTGCCGTATATCTCAAGAAGGATATATACCGAGAAGGGGGTTTCCGTACTCAACTCTTTGAGCTTCCTTAAATCAAAACGTCAGTAAATGATTGATGTCTAGGTGACATGCATGGGTTTATACCTTCTCTTCATCAACGATTAACCCTCCTCCCCTACACACATAAACTTTTAGTCTCCCAAATGGCATTCATAAGGCCTGGATGGAGCTTTTTGAACATATACTAGGCCCTTGTCGTGGCAAGCCAGAGATGTTTCCGATCAGCAGTAATGAGAAATTGTGGCATTAACGTCTAGAACCAATGCAGGCCTAGAGATTGTTATGATTTTATTGTGGAATGCTGTTCTTCATGTCTCCTTGATCCCTGTTGTTGCCCTGTTTTTGTAGGTAGTAAGCCGAAGATCCCCTCAGTTCTGAACCAGTATCGGTGCGGTACATTACACGTGCAGACAATGACTGTTTCTCTTATCACATTATTTACGGTCAATGGTCAATAGGGGTAAACTGATCTGTAAAATGATCTTGTGAACAGGATTTTCTAACGTTGATTGAGATAGTATACGGTGTTTGTGTGTACTAGATGTACCCTTGGAAGAGCGAAAACAATCTACAGCAGTACGAAATAGAACAGATTTATACAAGACATGTTCCCTATCACATTATTGCCGGTCAGTAGTCACGACCCTTGCACCATTAGTCACTCTAAAGCTCGTGCCGCGTTCACTTCTGCACGTACAACGTTCAGGCAGGAGTTTAGTTCCAGGTTGAACTATATAAACATCTTACAGCAGATATCATTATATTGATACTATTGTTATATTGACTGTTTACACACAATCAACCATGGTTGGTTAAATAACATTTAGATCAACAAAGAAAAGAACAATCCTGGTGGAATTTGGAGTGGACCTCTTTAAAGGTTTTTTCCTGACTTTCTCATCTTTATCGCCAGGGGAACATCAAGCTTGATCATACAAGTCAGCTGCGCCTCCTAGCGATGTGGATTGGCTCACCTGACATTATTTCAAATCTTTAGATAAGATATAGATAGATGTACGCTATAGATAGATGTCCCAGTCTATGAATCAAGAGGACGGCATGGTGTCAACGCTTTAAAAAAAAAATCATATTTTATTGCTTGCTTCTAGTATATTGTGCTCCATGATGTCAAAAGGATTGTTACAAAAACATTTTTTTTTGCTTGCTCTTGGTACGTTATGAATCATGATGATTAAATTCTGATCTACGGGATAAAACACTGCAAGCTTTAGGGTAGACAATATGTTTATGAAAGAAATATTCTAACAGATACGAATAATGCATCTCTAATGCATCTAATCCAGATTTATTTTGACAAGATTATATTCAACTGAATACTCTTATGAAAGCTGATGGGGATTAAAAGACTGCATCTTCTTTATGCTATAATAATTAAAATTACGTTGCTGATGAAATGGTGTCTGTCTTCTTACTGAAGACGTCACGCCAGTGTGAGGCTGATGTCACCGTTGGTCGTCTTAAGAGCCACCAGCTGACAAAGGTAGATATGCTCGTTAGAAAAAAAAAGAACCTTTAATGTTAGCTTAATTTCAAGACATATCATGGATATCTTCATATTCCTTTTAATAGCCCTTCGCAATTGAAAATGACTATCAGTGTGTGCTCATTCATCATGTGGGGCGTGTGACCTCATGTGGCTTCTGAGGCCAAAACATAAGATATCGTTTCACTGTAATATCATTAGCTCAATACTCAGCATTATGATTAACTCAATACTCAAGATACTTTATGTTTATGAGTATAATGTCCTTGAAAAAGTAAATGATTTAGTATTATGTTTGATACACACGGAGGCTGCCCCTGTTACTCCTGGTGGTTGTTTTTAATCTCTATGTACAATGTATATGATAAGTCATGCTCACCCAGTTGACAGATGTAGGCCATGGTCAAGTCGCAGCTCTTGATGTCCCAGTGTGCCAGTCGGGCGGTCCTCCACAGCACCACGCAGTCCCGGATCCTGTGCGGGGCGCTGGACCGGAACCTGCGGTACGATCCCAGCGGGCTCCCGTCGTTCCACAGGAAGGAGCGCTCACTGTTCAGGTCATCCAGACCGATCCAGTAGTTCCTGGAACAAGGCAGTCTGAGAGATCACCCCGGAATACACAGATACAGGAAGGCAGACATACATACATAGTAACTGTAACATACATACATACATACATACATACATACAGACAGACAGACAGGCAGACAGGCAGACAGAAAGGCAGACACACAGACACAGACAGACACAGAAACACACACACAGAAACACACACACAGAAACACACACACAGAAACACACACACACACACACACACGCACACACAGGGAATGAATGCCCTTCAGCCTTTCCTTGCTTCGTCATAGAAGCCATACTTGAATGGAGTCTGCTGGTAAAGCTGTTCCCAGATCGTCTGATTTACCTTTGAGTTCTGCCGCTTGTGCCTTTCAAGTGGTTCTTGAGAAACCTTTGTGTTGCATCATCCTTGATCATCGCTAGCGTGCCCCCGTACAGCCCGCACGCCTGCCGGGCTGCGGTGTAGTCTAGCTTCGGGTTTCTATGGGAGGAAGACCAGAAGCACTGGCCCCGGAACTCCCCGAAATTTCCGGCAGGGTGAAGGCCTGGGTAGAGGTCCGAGCACGATACTGTACAAAGGAGAATATAGGAATAGTAAAATATGGCTGCTTTGAACTGAACTCTTTTACTATACTTTATCCTCGGCTCTCATCCAATTACTAGTGCTCGAGAGGATACTAACGGAGCTATCACACTGCCATCGAACGATTTTGATGGTAGGCGGTGACATAACATCGTCGTCACTGGACTCAAATGTCATCCAAACTAATGTCATTCAAATGTCATACCGGTACAACTGTATCCACCTCCAGTGTAAGGGTCGTCACAGGCACAGGTGTAACTCCCAGGTGTGTTGGTACAGGTGGCATGTTCGTCACAGGTGTCTGTTCCTTCTGCACACTCGTCGATGTCTGCGGAAGAAAAGGGATCATGGATTCAGTGTCCAACTTTTCAATGTTGCTCTGGATCAAATATAACCTTACACAATGATTACGTTATTTCATTTGCAAGATAGAAATGTTTCAATCATACCTGTACAGGTGTTTCCATCGCCATTGTATCCCGAGTCACAAGCACAGGTGAAGCTGCCAGGTGTGTTGGTACAGGTGGCAGCTGCATGGCAGGTGTCAGTCCCCAGGGCGCACTCGTCGTTGTCTGTTGAAAGAGGGGGGGCATATTTGAGGACAGCTCTTTACAAAAATGTTGGTACATCATACCTTGCGATAAGTAGATGTCAGTCATACCTGTGCAAGTATTTCCATCGCCAGTGTATCCTCCGTTACAAGCACAGGTGAAACTGCCAGGTGTGTTGGTACAGGTGGCGTCTTCGTCACAGGTGTCTGTTCCTTCTGCACATTCGTCGATGTCTGCGGAAGGGAAATCAATCTTGGTTTAGTGGGCAACAATGTTAATCAAGATAAATGAATAGAACCTCGCACCATGGTCACATTGACCTGACAATTTCGGCGGTAAGGTAACATTTGGTCCAGCATACCTGTACAGATGTTTCCATCGCCAGTGTATCCTCCGTTACACGTACAGGTGAAGCTGCCAGGTGTGTTGGTACAGGTGGCAGCTGCATGACAGGTGTCTGTCCCCAGGGTGCACTCGTCGTTGTCTGTTGAAATAAGGAGAGGGTCATCTTTGATGACAATTCATAACAACAATGTTACAGTTTCATCACAAATTACATGTATCTTGGGTTATTGCGGATGTCAGCGTTACCTGTACAGGTGAATCCATCTCCAGTGAATCCTCCGTTACAGGCACAGGTGAAGCTGCCAGGTGTGTTGGTACATGTGGCATGTTCGTCACAGGTGTCTGTTCCTTCGTCACATTCGTTGACATCTGTAGCAAGAGCGAGGTTGCTTACAATTTGTATCTGGTTTAACTTATATTAGAGGCTCCACCTTACATCCAAGTATTTTTGTGATTTGATATCTTCGACAGAGAGTTATTAGATATAGAAGTAAAACATTTGCCGATGACATTTGGTCAAACTTACCGGTACAAGTGCTTCCATCGCCAGTGTATCCTCCGTTACAATCACAGGTAAAGCCGCCAGGTGTGTTAGTACAGGTGGCGTGTTCATGACAGCTGGCAGTCCCCAAGGTGCACTCGTCGTTGTCTGTACATGTTGAAGGAGGGAGTTATGTTTGATGACAGCTCATTACAACAGTGTTAATTTCATAGTAAACTACATGTATCTTAGGTTATTTTGGATGTCAGTCATACCTGTGCAAGTGTTTCCATCGCCAGTGTATCCAGAGTTGCAAGCACAGGTGAAGCTGCCAGGTGTGTTGGTACAGGTGGCAGCTGCATGGCAGGTGTGTGTTCCTAGGGCGCATTCGTCTACCTCTGCAGATGTGTGAAATGGATTCATGTCACAGTCGTATTTCTCACGTCAACGTTTGGGACATTAATAAATGGGGACCGCAGTTTTGGGAATTATATGAAGGACTGCGTTCGTTATTTGGTGGATGAAGTTCAGGAAGTGGCCGAGGATAGCTTGAAGCATAAACTCACTTATTGACACACGCTTATTGACAATAATACGATTTGGCCTGAAATGTATGCCATAGCGTGCTAGCTACATGTACTTGAAAAAAGCATAATGCTTCATCTCAGTTCAGGATAGATAAAGTCAAAGTTCTGGATGACTGATTTACCATGCTTTGCATTGAAATTGCAATTGTGCTGTTGCCTGGAATGATGGAAAAATTTTACATTGTTTTTTCCGTACCATTAGGACTGCAGGTATATCCGTCTCCGCTGTATCCGCCGTTACAAGTACAGGTGAAACTCCCAGGTGTGTTGGTACAGGTGGCGTGTTCGTGACAGATGTCTGTCCCAAGGGCGCATTCGTCAGCATCTGTGGAAGGAGACGACATGCAGGACTTGACCAAACATCTTCCGGAGTTTGGAGGCCAACGTAAGCATACAACCAGTATGTACTATGAGCTGTTAAACTTTTTCAGTAGCATCCACTACTTTTTGTCAGTTTTCAAAACCTATACAGTTGTTTAAGTAGTATATAAAGAGCATTTGCCTATGTTCAAATGCGTATCAGACATAGGAGGAGGATCAGAGCTTAACTGAAGTGCTGCTTATAGCCGCGAGAAACAGCACCACTCAAGTCAAGAGCTCAGCATTATTTTTGGAAGTTCAACTTTTTCTCTTAAGTTGTATACCGCCGTTTTGTAACCAATAGGTGTAGTAACCCTTTACCTACCGACGTCGCAGCACGTCCCTGTGTAGCCGGTGCCGGTACAGTCACAGCCGGCCTGGTACGGAGACCCGTTCGGACAGAACCTGTTACAGTCCTCCGTCTCAGAGTTACTGCCGCTACAGGCGGCTCCCCCGCACGACGCAGCAGGGCTGTAGGGTCTGCAGGGGTTGTTGAAAACGAAAATATTATCTGGACTTCGCTATAAAAGGTACTTTAGATTTTTCTCACTCCATTTAGGTGTAAACTAGGTACCCGACTTCGGTTGGGGAGGTAAATGCGATATGGAAGGAGAGGGATGGGCTCCGCCTTACAATACCGTGCCTTAGACCTAGTGAATTAAGAGCCAACTGCCCTTACGACCCGAAATGGGCTACGGGACCTTGCTAATAAGCATGCCTGATATCGTATTAAACCCAAATAACTCGACCGATCCCCACACTGCACAAGTACCACATATTTCTCATTAATCCCAACTTGTACCTTGTTCTTGTCCGTGTTCCAAAAGCCCCACACTGATATGAACATGAAGACCAGGACGTCCACGGACCCCACTGACAGTTGATCGGGGAGCAGGTTTGGCGCCGGCGCCTCCACGCAGCCGACTCTCCCGCCAGAAGGGCTACCAGCACCGCGGAGACGAGCAAGGAGTTAGCCCGACGATGGTTCATCTCTGAAGACTGTAGCCTGTTGTAGTCGCGTAGTTGTTTCTATTCCCTGAGGAACGATTGTCAAGTCGAGGATTCTGATATTCTCCACCGGACTAACAACACGGGTTCATAAAACACTAAAATAAAATCTAGCTAGCTAGTGTTCATCCGGTATAGAGATGAAGCCTCCAGATCCATCAGACAGAGCACATTGGACAACCTCATCATACCGAGGCCCCAACTGGAAGTGTACAGGCGGTCACTGAGGTACTCGGGGGCGACTGTGTGGAACTCCTTGCCACCACATGTACGAGCAGCCCAGTCATTGGGAACATTTAGAAGTATGATAAGGAACTTGGACTGATAACGGACTGATGATTTACTATTTATTTTTGTATTATATTTTGATTTGCATTTTGTTTTGATTTTGTATTATATTTTGGTTTGATTTGTAATCCGTGACTCCGCCCTCACCCTCGACCTTGTTGAAAAGCGGTCATATGTATGTACCGAACAAGCTTTCGAGTTTAAATAAAGGCTTACTACTACTAAATAGGGAGAACAAATCGGCCCAGGACAGTATGGCCACCATAGAGTTCATTTGCCCGCGCAGGAATTGAAACCCTAATGGTGGTAGTAAAATACTGAGGAAAGAGAGATAGTCGGGCGTTTCTTTTGTAGAAAATGACAAATGACTTCTCATGGCTGAGTGGGTCAACAATTTGCCGTACCGACTGATGACGCACATCCTGTTGTTCTGTGACAGTCCTGAAGTGTGACGTAGCCTTCTGTTCAGGCCTGAGACTGAGCGGGTGGATTTTGTATAATTGTTAACTCGTCCTTTTATCGGTCATCATACAACCACCAGGCCATCGTAGGACAAATCCCCCTCGGAACCTACCATGGCCAATTGGTTGTATCATGGCCGGCAAAAGGACGAGTTAAAATTATACAATTAAATCTCAGTGTCAAAAACGTACTGATATCTGAGGTTGAACCGGATTGAACTGCAATGTGAACGCCCTGTGACTCATCGCGTCAACCAAGGACACGTCGAAAACAGTCATTATGTGGGTTTATCGCTAATTACCGCTTCCTTCTGCCCTAGAGCACTTGCAGTTAATTCTGAAAACATGAATTTGTATATTCATCAAAACACCAAAAAAGGACAGGCTAGCTAGTCAGTGGACCTTTTTTTCTAAATGGGGAAAAGACAGTATTGGCATTTCTTCAGTAAATAAAGGGTATCCATAGCCAGAAAGACACCAAGGGAGAATAGTGGTCTTCCTGACATAAACTCTTAACATATTGGTCCAAAAGTAAGGCACGCAAGTACCAAGGACACCCGGATTTGATCTCACTGCATAGTTTAACTACTAAAGACCACACGGAGGTCGAAACAATGTGTGCGCTCAGTGAGTCGCCATCGGTGCGCGCAACTTGCAAGTTATGCGGTCTTGTGATCCCGGGAGCGGTCTTGGGAGCATAAAAATATCAATTTAAAGATCAAAACGAGTCGAACAAGTGGGGCGGAGGGTATGTTTAGCACTGGGAAAAGATTTAGAGGCGCACACAAGTGTACAAGTTAAATCTCTAGGAGCACACTTTGCGCTACCGTGAAAACCACAAACCTGTGGGCGGGGCAGTGGCGCGGCTAGTCAGAAGCGCACTACGTGATCAAGGGCACGTAGAACACATATTTACATCAGCACTGGTCTTACTATCAGTATCACTATATCCAAATGTATGTATATCGACTAAAAAGACGCAAACACGTGTGACACGCAGTTTGTGTCCCATGTCCTACTGATGCCGAGGTCACAGAGCGGAAGTAGCCTAGTGTATAGGACACGAACGTTTGTAGAACCATAAAGCACATGGCGAGGCCATCAGCGATCTTACAACAGGGGACTTTCATTCCATGTTTAAGTTCGCCGTGGACAAATACAGGCGAAGCGTCATAGGGTAAACAAACAAACAAACAAACAAACAAACAAACAAGCAAGGAAAGAAACAAAACATTTGAAAATGCACAAAGCATTAAAAACCTACGTATGTTACTACCATCTTCTAAAACAGAGTAGCCTCCTGCACGGACCTTTCTATCGGACTACTTGTTTCTATGAGAGCGGCGTTTTCTCTTTGCTGGTAGGGCTATATTGAGGGAATACTGTTGTACCTAGTACCTGTACATTGGTTACTATCCCTCCGATACAGCTACCAAGCGAAAAAAAAAATCATTCAAACAATCGGCAGCTAGGAAAGCCTGGACACTCGGCTAAAACCAAGTGTCTTGATAGACACACAGAAACACAACTAGAAAGGGTCTACGTACCTTTCCGAAGAAGACTGTCCACCTTCAGATTTTCGTACCAAAACAAGGCGCAAACTGGCTGGTAGACACTGTGTCGTTCGCCTTGTTATGTGTTGTCTTGTGTGATTTACATAATGACCTTGTTGACAAATTTCTCAGCATACCAACCGCTGCTGACGTCACATGTGAGCTGTGACGCCAGGTGGTGGGAAGTGTTTGACCTCGTATGTGAGTAGGGCATACAATCAGCATCTCATTATCTCATTCACAAGGCTCACAGTAAACACAAAGTTTCCACCAGGACTTCCTACAAGGGTACGGATAGTATAATTGGGCAAAAAAAGGCGGATGATTAGCCAGGAGAGTCAGCACGTCCGTGGGAAGGTTATACTTTTGAACCTTCGAAATGAACTCTACTAGCTATATAGTATACAGTGGCGTCACTCCCCTGGTCGCTTAAGTTTACTGTTTTGAACCCACGTTGTCTAGTCTTGTGGAGACTGGGGAAAAGAGTTCTCATTTTATAAACATACAAAAATGTAAGCAGAAGAGAAATTCGTGCTTTGTGATTGGACAATTCACCTCGTGCTAATGAACCCTGGCTAAAGGCTGGGTCTTATCATGGCGTAAGGGACGTCACCGAATAATAAGAAACAAGTTCTGTGACACACAGCCAGCGGCTCTGTCTCTCAGTTCGCTGTGCTAATTGTGGGACGGACATGCGTTGTTGTTAGTTGTAGCAAGGAGAGTAAAATCCTTGACCTTATCTTGCATAGGTCGAGGTCGACCCCTTCAATAATGCCTTGAGCTATTGACAGTCGTAAATATAGTTAGTGATTGTGGCGAACATATACGGAAGATAGGTCGACAGGATTTTGGTATCAATGCCCAGAGTTAACGTTGCGGGACGGAGTACTTTCTCTCGCGGAAGAAGATTAAAGCTATCTGGAACTCGCCACGTGGTGGCGGCTATCTTATAATGCCATGTGGCTTCATGTTAAAAACCGGCTGATGTCATAACCCCACTACTGGGGTCGGCAAATACCACTATGATCTGCAGCAAAACTTCAGCTACATAGTCGGCAAGACTACATAGTCGGCAAATATCACAAATGATCTTCAGCAAAACTTCAGCAAAAAGTTGTGGTCTAATTTCGTAGGCACATCGAACATATAGATAGCCAATATTTAATAGAGCATCCTCAATACGACCAAGTAAACGGATATTGGATTATACGTATGTAAATGATTCATTTGATTGAGCATGGTAACGATTCGGCCTCTGAAACAGCATTCTGGAATGAAATAGGCATTCTGGTGAGAGTTTTGAGACTGCATTCCGCTAGGTGGCGTATGTATACATTCCGACACTTTATCAAAACCGGTCTGTCGGGACAAATCCAATGACTCATCTCATATCCAAACTGATTTTCAAACTGGTCATTATCTTTGAGGTTTCCAGAAGGGACTCTAGTTGCCAACAGAAATGCTGTAATTTTTTGTCTGTGCATTTAATCCACATGCGTGAGCAAAGTGTCGGCATATTTTTGTTTTCTCTCTTTCGAAGTGAGGCTAAGTACCTTTAACGTCACCTCCAATTTAAAGGAACCCAAATGCAATTTCAGGGCGACAAAATGGGATTCTATAGTCAATTTAGTGGCAATTCTTTTAATACCTTAATTTGAATCAATCCTATCTCATAATATAATGATATCCTCATGTGGCAAATTTGTGTTTTGCCACCGGTACTCTGAGTTTGAGACTAGGTCGCAACAATATCACAAAAATTGGTAAAACCTTGAAAATTGTATCGATGTTATCTGCAATATGACTTATGAACCCTAGACGCAGGCACAAACAGATAGGGTTTTGGCAGGGAGTCAAAACCAATTTTCTCATTATGAAATGTCAGTGCTCAGGCTGACGCATCGTCCTTCAACTCAGTCTTCCAAGAATCGACACTGAACTGGAAACCCCCACAACTGCACCTGCGGAAAATTATCACAAGGAAACGATAGAGAGGGCGAAAGAGAGACGGAGAGAGAGAGAGTGAGAGAGGGGGGGGGAGGACAAGATGGGGCGTTAATCCAAGCCCAAGCCCCAGATCTTGAAGCTTTGCTTTGTTGTCATCTGTTGACTTAAACTTGCTCGATGAAGCACGTCGGCAGAATGTACTGCGCCTGCGCAGAACCCCGTATTTTCGCGTTTTTCGTTGGGTTTTTGGTCAACGTTGCATCAGAATTTTGCCTGTTGCAGAGGATATTCTTTCCGACATAACATTTGGAAACTACTGTCGAAATGTTAACCTTATATGAGCGAATACAACCTTATATGAGACATTCTGCCGAAATAGGTGCAGTACGTTCTGCCGACGTGCTGCTCGATGACATTAACAAGCTTCGGGTCATTACACATGACATGTCTGATCAGGTCTGACAGACGGGGCTCGACTTATCATGTCAGGTTCTGACACAGGTTTAAATTGTTAAACCTTTTGTATATAGCCTCACACCTTTCTCAAACATGGACATTGTTGTGACATGGCGTTGCACGGTTACGATAAGTTCAGTAGTTTGTTCATCTGTGCGTCTGTCGAATGCTTCAGGCAAATTATCACGTCATAAGTTGTCGCTCGGATGACAACATGTTTACCTCCCCAATGCTCCGGTACTTTTGTTGCAGACATGACTATGTTGACTTCTTCGTTTTTATTTCTTGAAATGCTGACATAGTTTAAGATGTGTTTTTCAGCAAATGTGTGTGGTTGAGAGTCGAGGATACTTTTTCAAGGTCATTTCCTTCTGAGAGACGTGGTTTGATGACACGTAGGAACGTAGTCGCCGCAGGCGGAAAGGGAATCCCCCCAACGCCACCATCCAGCTTAAAAATAAACTATAATTTACTTGAAAAACGATCCCATTGGTGCACGTCATTGAGAAGCTATTGTTCACATAATGATATGCATACATGGATATATAAAGGCGCTGATTGGCGTACAAAGTCAGGCAGTTGCG